GTACGATGATTCTCGTTCCACCTTTCTTTCTGCGGGATATAGAGCGGCGACCACTGCCCACGCGAAACACGCATTGTCTTTAGACTGTACGTTAACCACCGCTCTTTTCATCATAATCTCCCGCGACAATTTAATGTGGCATCCCGCGCGCATTGGATTATATTTATTTACATTAACAGTCAAATTCTGTATTCGCGACAATGCCCAGCCGCTATCGCGTTCCTGAAACTCTTCCAGAGACGTTAAAGTGGGCTCGATAACGCGGCGCTCGAACCACTCGCGTAAATCCGATGTGCGAAAGAGTTCACAGTTTCTCGTATTTATACTTTTATTCGCGCGCTTATCACCCGACACAAATTCACCGTTGAATATAGTATTTACTTTTACACTGTTGTGTCTTTTTAGAACGTCTTGCACTTGCTCGAGCACAATGTCTTCGGCATCCTCGAGAAATTGACGAGGTTCGATATAGTTTGCGTTAATCACGGCACCGGTCAGAATACGGCTGTCGAACGCGGTATCGATCTCTCGCCAAACGAGTCTTTCCGCGTTATTGTCACCGCTGTAATCACCACCACTGGGAATAAACCGTCTTTGCAATCGAGTCTTCGCACTTTCTAGTCGCGCGATTTTAGTCACCAGAGATTGTCTATTTCCGCTCGAGAGCCGCGGACGCTTGACACGACTGCGTTCTTCGAGCTCTTTGATCAATTCCTCGCAACGCTGCAGCCACGCGAAATACTCGCCCAAGGTGGCAATTCGGCGAGATCCCTCCACCAGATCGCGTTCGGTCGCTCGATGTTTTCCATTTTCCTATCTTTTTCGCACTCACACTTTTAAAACACTATGTCACAGTTTTCTACGGATGACTTTTGCACGCGATAAACAATACCGTTCGCTATCATGAACGTGAAATAGGCGCAAAAATCTTTCTAACGGAACACCGCTATACTTTTTTTTTTTTACTGCCGACGCGTCGATGGGCGTTCAAATCACATACTATGATGATTTGATGCGCTTCAATCCTTCTTATATGAAGGAGAAAACAAAGCAGCCAAATATCGGCGCTGATACGTTAAAAATTCTTCCGATAAAAAAATCGTAAAAGATGATTCTAGGAGGTGCCGTTTGTTTATATTGTTTATAAATTTATGTGCTGTGTAATTCAATGAGAGAGATAAGGATACGTCGAACGAAAAAATCTAGAATCACTTATATCGGGGGTGAGGAGTGTACCGCGAAAGCGCTGATATACGAGCGGTGGAAGCAAGGGTACAAAGCAGCCAAACATCGGCGCTGATACGTTAAAAATTCTTCCGAGAAAAAATCGTGAAAGACGATTCTGAGGTACTATTTGTTTATATTATTTATCAACCGGACATGCGACACAATATTTCATATACTTTCGATAAATATATGGGACCGCGCGTACTTTTTACGAGGCGTTTACGACGATATGGCGATAATGTCACATCTCTATTATACGATCTCGTTTCGAGATCTCGCTGCCTTGTCAGAAAGAGTTTGGCAGTGCGTGAGTCGAGAAATCAAAAGTGAAGAAATCGAAAGTGAAGAAGTGAATATTTTTTTTTCATCGTTCTTGTGTATTTTATAAAATGGCCGAAGAAAATATCATTATCATTAATGATGACGATGATGATGTTATGATCATCGATGATGACGATGTGATGATCATCGAAAATAATGTGAGGATCATTGAAAATGATGATGTAATGAATATTGATGAAGATCACGAAGATGACGAAGATGACGCCGATTTCGAAGTAGAACCCTTTGCGGACAGCGATTACGAGAGTATCAATAGTGATGACAGTGATGAACTATTACAAATAAAAGAACGAAATTTAGACTTACCGAGAATATTGATGATGAACGATACAATAAAAATATGTTGCATATCGTTCTATTATGTGGAATGTGGACTGAAATATTGTGCGGAATGCTTCCTAAGATTATCGTTTTTATTTCTGGAAGCTAGTGCTGTACGGGAACATCGCTGCATATATTATCAACATTTAAGCAATATGTCTTGCAAAGAGTGCAGAAGATCTTTGAATCAAATACTGCCGTGCGACATGTGCCCCATGTGCACACATTAAAACATTGTAAGTACTATTTTTTAAATCTTAACTCTCTCTAACTACGCTTGTATTAATTCAATATCTTTTTTCTGTTACAGGAGCAACCATCCCCCAGATCCGGCGACCTCCCCGCCCCCCAATATAATATATTTTTTTATATTTTTATATTTTAAAATTTTATTAGAATTTTAATTTTAAATACACACACACACACACACACAAATGTATAATACACACATTTTATTAAATTTTATATTTTTTTAATTGGAAAAAAATATGATTATTTAGACCTCTTCTTGCGTTCCCACCTTTGCGCTAGTTATAAGTATCGTTCTCTCTCTCATGTGTTAATCTTAAGTCTCTCTCTCGCACGCATTGTTCTCGCGCCATCACCCCCTCTCTCAAGCGTCTTTCAAGCGTCGTCTTTCAAACGTTGCCTTTCAAGCATTGTCTTTCAAAAGAAAGCTGCTGTTTTTTTTATAGTGCAATTGTTTGTAGACTCAATTCTTTTGTTTTTACGATGCGTTTTGGAGATGGCTGCATATGGTGTCTCTGCTACGATTTCGGACCGAGATCTCGTCATATAGTTCAGAACTGTGAACGTGAGTTCATCGCTCCACGTTATATACCATAAAACAGTGAAAGAGTTTTTGATAAAACGGTTAAAGAGTTTTCGATAAAATGGATCAACATCTTACGTGGTTTAAATTATGGAAGAATAGCTTTATTAAGTTATTCTTTAGTGTAATTTTAAAAATTACATTTGATTGGCGTTTGGAGGTAAGTAGCGTTTGCATGTACGTGTGATTTTTTTTTAAATTAGATTATTAAAATAATTATTTATTATTTATTATTTAGTTTCAGAGAGAAGTTGAACTTCCTGGATTCATAAATATATATCATAGGCAATGGGTGCGGATGATACGTCGAGCTCGACGGGAGGATATTTTAGACATATGGGGCGACACTCCGGACAGTCGCCATCGTCAGGTCGAAGATGTCTTCGATCTGCGGCGGCTCTTCGGGGAAGAGCCCTATCTGAAAATCATACACGAAGAAGAGTGGATCCTAGGTGGAAACGTGTGGATACCACAGGACGATTTGATGGCTCTAGCAGGTTAATGTAAGTATTATTTTTATATTAAATAAATTATTAAATGTTTTATTAAAAACTAATAAAATGTATATCTTTTTTTTTGTTGCAGGTGCGGCCTCTCTCAGCTCGGCGCATTCCCCTCCCCATATATTTTGTATTATTTCTTATTTCATATTTTTTATATTTTTTATTTTCTTTTTATTTTCATTACTTTTTATTCTTAAATAAGTATACATACATACACACACACACACACACACACACACACACACACACACACACACACATAAAAAATGTATAAACACACATACATTTTAAATAAATTTTATACATTCATTTAAAAAAAAAATATTTATTTACATTATCTCCCTCGCACGCGTTCCCTCTCTCGCGCCATCGTTCCCTCTCCCTCGCACGCGTTCTCCTCGCGTCATCGCTCCCTCTCCCTCGCACGCGTTCTTCTCAACCTTTCGAATCTCTATTCAGCCTACTGTCCTATCCCAAATCACCCTGCCCTCTTGACTTAGTTTTTTTGCGTTACTTTTGTTAGTTCTTCGTCCGGTTGATGGAAAAAAGGATTTATGTTTCCTTTCCTTTTTTTTCTTTTTCTTTTTTTCTTTCTTTCTTTCTTTCTTTCCTTTTTTTGTTTTAAGTCTCTCTCCCTCTCGCACGCGTTCTCCTCGCGCCATCGCTCCCTCTCCCTCGCACTCGTTCTTCTCGCACGCGATGCATTTCAAAGAAATGCAGATGTTTATATTATTTATCAACCAGGCATGCGACACAATATTTCATATACTTTCGATAAATATATGGGACCGCGCGTACTTTTTACGAGGCGTTTACGACGATATGGCGATAATGTCACATCTCTATTATACGATCATAATCTCAATTCAAAAATGCTGATGTTTATATTATTTATAAACCGAACATGTCCGTACGCAATACTGTTTATCAGCCGGGCATGTAATATAATATTACCATAAAACATCTAACACGCGCCGCCGCCGAAATCCCTCCGTCCCGCGTGACGTCATTCCCCCGCGCCTCCGTAATCCCCCGCGCGCCTCACCCCCCCTGAGAGGACCTGGGTTAGAACTCTCCTATATATCCTACTAGCAAATTCTCTCTTTCTCACGTGTTTCTCGCTATGTAAAATAACCGGTGAGGACCAATCGAAGTCATGATTAAAATCAACTTTATGTTTACGTTTACTTTATATAACGGAAAAATTGCTTTCATGCACTTTAATATTATTACGATGTTCTTTTATACGAGTGCATAAATGTCTTTTTGTTTGGCCGATATATGACTTATTGCAATTTTTGCAATCTAATTTGTAAACTACTTCCGTCCTGTTATTCATAGGCAGCTTATCTTTACCGCGTTTAATCAATACATTGAGTTTTTTAGGAACATTATACACCACATTTAGGCCTATGTTTTTAAAAACGTGATCAAATTCATCACTCAGGCCATCAACGAACGGCAAAGAAATGTACGAAGATGCCACTGCATTGTCACATTCATTATCAATATTAGCATTATCACGATGTTTCAAGAATTGTAGTCTTTTTTGCACATAACGGTTAATGATTTGGCTCGGAAAACAATTGTTGGAAAGAATCCGCCTAACAGTATCAATGTTCTTCGCATGAAATTGAGAATCAGCCAATAATATAGCGCGGTCAACAAGACTGTAAATGGTGTTCAATTTGTATTTCATCGGATGTTTAGAATGAAAATTAATAAATCTGTTAGAACAAGTGGGTTTCCTAAACCGATCGGTTAGAAGACAACCATCAGATCGAATAACAACCGTGTCGAGAAAGCTGAGAATCACATTCAATTTCATGCGTAAAAGCCAAGCGTTGATGATAATTATTAAAGGTCGATTTTATCATTTCCACTTTAGAGCGTGGAACAATGGTAAAAATATCATCAACATATCTGTAATAAACCGGCACATTGAAATCCAGCAGACTCAAACAATGTGTTTCCAAGTCATCCATCATGATATCGGCCAAAATAGGTGACAGAGGAGAACCCATAGGACTACCAAAAATCTGTTCGTAAAACTGTCCGTTGAATGTAAAACTAGTGGAGTCCAAAATCATTTCAATCACGTATAAAAACTGTGATAAGTTAAATTTCGTATTAGGCGCGATGTGATTCCAACGTTTAGTGACAGCACTCACAACCAAATCTTTAGGAATATTCGTGAACAATGCAGTGACATCAAGAGAAATCATTATTTCGTCATCTCTAATAATTTTGCCTTTTAAATAATTAGCAAACGTCCAACCATCCTTGATGTGAGATTTAGGTTCCAAGATCGAAATCTTCAATATGTCATGGATGTATTGCGCGACGTTGTATACGGGACTACCGATCGATGACACAATAATTCGCATTGGAAAACCAGACTTGTGAATTTTTGGTAAACCATAACACCGTGGTAAATTACCATTCGTAGAGTTCAATTTTTTATATGTAGACTCATTTATAAGATCATTGCTACGCCACGATTTTACCATAGTATTGATTTTATTAGTTAATTTTCTGATCGGATCCTTATTCAATTTCCTGTAGGTGGATTGATCATTCAGAAGTGCCTCCATTTTTTCCACATAATCAGTCTTATTCATCACCACAGTGACCTGACCCTTATCAGCCCTGGTGACAAACAGATCGTCGTTGTTGTGCAAGAATTGTTTGCAAAGAGAGAGGCTTCCTAGAACATATCTGTCTATACAGTTGACATGCCTTTTCTCACAAAGAAATCTATTGAGAGAATTAGCGACAGAATTTCTGGTACTTGCAATAACGGTAACAGGGATGCGGTTGTAATTGATTTCCAAGTTCTTCAAGGTCTCAAGAACAACGTTAACACGATCTTTCGCGTGAGACTGAAGTAACGGTAATCCAAAATTGTCACCAAGACTCAAAAGTTCAGACACTCGATCAGGAATGTTTTTATTACTAATGTTAATCAACCATCCGGTTTTGTCAATATTGTTAAAAGGATTCAAAGATGTGTCATACTTGGCTGTCAAATTTTTAAATTTTTTAATTAGATTAGATTTTAATCTGTTAGTGATTATTGAAAACTTACGTTCATTAAAATCAAAAAATTTTTTTAACAAATCACGCGGCACACATTCAAGACCACTTTCAATCCTTCCAACTTTAGCGCGCAAATATTTTAGATTACAATTAAGATCCTTAATTTCAAGATTCAATAATGTATAACGATATCTCGTCTTGGTTTTCTCAAAAATGCGATTAACGCGACTACAGAACTTGATGTTGATCTTTAACTTGCTAATGTGTGACGGAACTAAGTCATATCTCCTGCATCGAAGTAAGAAAATGAGTTGTTGATTGGCAGTGAAATGTATAAAGTATCAATTTATATAGTATTAATAGATCGTACTGAGGTATATGGAATGAAAGAATTGCGCGTTAGACGAAAAGAGATACGTACCTCGATTAAAACTCGTCCTCGTCGTCGTCGTAGTCGCTCGTGTGAGCGGAGCTCATTCCGTCGATCGGACTCAAACCGTGGTACCACATTTCTCCGAAGGAATCGTCGTCGTTGTAGATATGTGCGGTCTTACACATATGATCTTGGACGAGCGATTCCATACCGAACAATCTTCTCAAGCGAAATATGTCGGTAAACATGTTAGGTGCGCTCTTCTCCCATTTCTTGTAGGACGGTCGCTCGCACCACAGTAAATCCATGAATATGCGGCCTGCCTTTTTCTCTGCATCCAACGCTTATGGTGTATGCTTACGAACCCTTCGATCTCGACTTCCTCCTCGAACTGTAGAAATGTCGCGCGACCAACGATCGTCGCGTGTCTCTTCGAAGGAGAACGAAAGAATAAATAATGATGATAAAAGGGTACTCACGTTCCACGCTACCGCTATGCTGAGGATCGCGTTCATGAGTCTCTTGATGTATTTTATTTTCCAGGCGCACATTCGCGCCGCGAACATACATCCGTGAAACATTCTTTGCAATTTCAAAAATTCGTCATCCATCGTTCGCGCGAAAATAACGCTGAGAATGAATATTGAATGCACTGGGAACACTTAGAATACTGAGCGCGCGGAAATATAACGAGGTAATAAAATGATGCGCGATAAATTCTCGATTGCTCCGGAGGAAGTGCGGAAAATGTGTTTAACCGCGTACGCGCGATACGAGTTAACGTTTATACGCTAATTAATATTATTTTTCATAGTGTTAATATTATTTTTCTTAGTATTAATATTATTTTTTTAGTATTAATATTATTTTTTAGTATTAATATTATTTTTTCTTAGTATTAATATTATTTGTAGTATTAATATTATTTTTAGTATTAATATCATTATCTTTTTCTTATTATTAATATTATTTTTGTATATATTAATAATACTTTTTTCTATGTAGGCGATAAATCAATGCACGCGATAAAAATTAGTCGTCGATACGTCGACGAGAGTACGCGTAAAACTAATTTACGATGTGGGAAATGTATGAGGCGCGATAAATTAACCGCTAATAAGTCGATAAGAGTACGCGCAAAACTAATCTACGATGCGGAAAACGCGGGAGGCGCGCGAATCATCGCGCGACGCGTCTCTGTTCACATGTCGCGCAATTGATCGCGTCTCTCCAACCACCAGTTGTGCAGTTTGCACACGTTTTCCAAGGCGCAATTCTTCGAGTGATAGCCGCAGCGATAGACGCGAGTCGCGGCTAGCGTTCGAAGGGGTCCGATATTCTCGTAATCGGCGTCGATGGTCTCGATCGTCAGATTGAGCTGCTCCGCGACCTAACCTCTCCCGCGATGTCGGCCAGCTACTTCTTCTCGCAACCCTTGACGTAGATCGTCACCGCGGCGTTCGACACGAGATCCCTCGACGCGCGATATATCGCGTCGCGAACGATCTGCTTCGCGTGCCTATACTCCACGTGTCCGTCGGTCCAGTGAAATTCGTGGTGATTAAGAGTCAGCCAACAGGTCTGCGACTTCTCGCTCTTCGTCAACAGATTCCATGACATCGGTGCGCGGAAGACGTGATGCGTCAGATCTCTGCCGTTCGCGAGTATCGCCATCTCCTTCGTCACGAATCGCTCGTTGACGACGAAGCCCTGCAGATCGACGAAGATCGACGGGGCGATATCGCCCGTGACCGTCGTCGCGGTCATCGTCGCGAGAGACTGAAGTTTATCCGCGCGTCTCTCCCCGATATCTTCGCGATTTCGAGTTTCTTCTCTCTCCTCCCGTTCGACGCGCCGTCTTACAGGATCTTACGCACGACGTTCGTCAGCGGATTGTACTCCACCACGCGATCGTGAATGATTAGGCAGTACGCCGTGGTGTTAGAAGGAACGTTGTCTTTGCAGTCGAATTCTAGACGAACGTCCACAGTGGCGCTCTTAACCGCTTCGTTTTGGCGGGAACAATCTATCACCACGAGCGGGCCACAGTGTAGAAATTTGTTCATAGTCAGGAGCGTCTCGTCGCTCGCGGATCCGTAATACGTTCGTCGAAATCTCGCGTAGGCGTCGTACAGTACGGCGATTTTGTTCTTATCGAAGTCCAAATTCATATCGTCGTACGGATAGAAGTCGGAATTGAGATACAACTTTACGTTGGTCAGATTGCACGCGTCGAATCTGGAAGCGTCCTGCGACAGGACGTTCTTCCTTCCGGTCTGCAACGCGAAGATGACGTAACGCGGTTTCTCGAGTTGCATGGCCGCTTTTATGGCCCATGAGTGTTTGGTCGTGCTCTGCAGGAGCGGAAACTCGTAGAGATCCCACGAGCGAAAGGGCGCGCTCAGATATCTGCCGCTGTCCAACGTGCGCAACAGCGATAATTTGTTGACGTCATTCAGCACCACGTGCGGCACGCGCCACTGTATCTTCGCGAGCTCGACTCTCGGCTCGAATTCCTCGCGCGATATCAGACAATTGTTGTCGTTTCGCGCTCTTATCAGAATCAGCTCGTGACGCGCGTTGATGACGACACGCCTGTAATCTTCGCAGAAACCTAGCAGCGTGTCGAGAGGAACGCAGAAGTTGAAGTCGCCCGTCGACGCGACGCCGCTCGGTCCAGTCGTGAGATCCCATCCGGCGTTCTTCAAGATCTTGCCTCGTTCGGCCGTCAGCGAGGCGTAGTTCTTGATCGTGCTAGTTATTCCGACGTTGCGATTACGATCGATCTCCACGCCATCGAGCTCGAACATAAAGGCGACCCAATTGTTCGCGAGCCACGCTGGCGTCGAGGACACGGACGGCTCCTTAGAGGCCGAGGCAGGCTTACCCGATTCGCCGCTCGACGCGGGCGGCGGATTATTCTTCGTATGCAGTCTACCTTCGACGTAGAGAAAACTCTCGCACGGCAGCGTGTATAGGTCCTGCTGTTGTATGGGTATTCGTATCTCGTTGCTGTATCCGAAAGTGGTGTTGGCGTACGGATTGTACGTGTGACTCTCGATCTTCACGATGCGATCGTCGAAGACGGGTTCCCCGCCGATGCTCAGAATGTCCTTCATGTCGTCGGACTATCGCGCGCCTCTCGGTACGACGAAACCAATGGATCACAGAAAAGCGACGTTGGCGGCGGACAATCCCCCGACGCTCCTCTCTCTCGAGCGCGCGACTCGAGTTCCCGCGACGCGATCGCGGTCGCCGCCGCTGCCGCCGCGACGCGACGTCGCGACGCTAGATTCGCGCACGACGAGCATCGCCCCGTTCCCTCCCCCGTCCTCGCGTCTCGCCGCGCGCTCTCTATCGTCTGCGTCGCACGTGCAATCGAATCGAAATCTCCTCGTCGCGGAAATCGATCAATCGACCGTCCTGATCGACGACGCGCAGCGATACGTCGGTCACGAGTCGCGCGATGACCGGCAGATAAATGATCTGCCTCGGGATCTCCGACACTTTATATCCCGGCGAAACGTTCGGCGCGAATTCGCGTATCGCGTGAGCGGATCTCCCGTTCACGTACGCGCCCGTCGTCAGGTTGCACTCCACGCGAATCGTGTTAACCGCGATAATGCTCACGGGCTCGTCGGACGCGTACCATTTGTTCGGCCGCAATACGCGGGACTGGGAGAAACCTAATAACAATCCGATATTGTTCGGTTTGGTGAAATTAATTCGGTACGCGCATTTGATTTCGCTTCTCATATTACGTCGTTACCGCGTAGCGCGAGAACGCGATAGCCGCTCTCGTCCTCCGCGTCCTCGACGTCGTACAGATATTCGTCGTCGTCGCCGACGCCGTCGCTGGCGCCATCGTCGTCGTCTCTCCCTCCGATACTCGCGCTCGGCGGTCGTCGCCGTCTTCGAAGAATCGCGGCTCTCAGGTACGCGCTTATGTCGCGCAGCTCGTAGGATCCGATCAGGATCGCGATCGTCTCATCGTTGTCGTCGAAGTAAAATTTATTGTTCGAGGAATTCACGTTCGGAATCGTGTTGTAGGTCTCGAAATTGGTCAGGCCGAACTCGTAATCGTCGTCGCTCAGATCGAGAGGCGGAAAGTAACTCGCCGTGAGAATGTTACTTCTTCCGGTCAGCGTGAGAATCAGCGACATGACGACGCGCTCTATCGCCGTTAGAGACCGAAGGGCTTCCTCCTTCCTCCTCCCCAATCGACTCGTCGAAGGAAGCGCAGGCACAATTGTCCGCAGACGCTCTGATCGTACGTCTGCTGAGAGTCGCGATTGTACGCGATGCGCGTGTCGCGTCCGAGATAACGCGCGAGTTCTCGAGGCGGCCGAAGATTGCCGAAAGCGTCGAAGTAGACAGCGTCTTTTCCCCTTTTAGCGTACGCCACCCAATGCGTGCACGGCCCCGAGGCGTCGTCCAGGTTCACGATACCACTCTCGTCGCGACGAACTCGCGCCGGCAACGTGTCGCGCATGAACACACTTCTGAAGTGACGCACGCGAGCGCGCCTGGCCGCGCTATTCAACTGTTCTTTCGTCGTGACGTCGATCGGAGCTACGATGTCGTCTAACGCCCGCGAAGGCGCGACTTTTTTTTTTCTTCCTCCTAACCGTTCGTCCGCCTCGTCTCGCGATGCTTCTACCGCGCTTGTAAGGCGCGAGATACAAACCGCGGCCCTCCATCGCTCGATTGTATCGCTGCAGCTCCTCCAATTGTCGACGCGCGGCCTTACCGTCGTTCACCATCTTCACCACGCCGGCCGTTCCGCCGATCAGCGATCCGGGCGCTAAAGCTCCGAGCGCCGGCAACAGCGGCAGGAAGCCGCCGCGTTTCGCCGCGGGAAGAACCCGTCCTCTCGTCGTCCTCCTCTTCCTCGTCGAGGTCGTTCTTCTCTTGCCGCCGCCACCGCCGCTCTTTTTCGCGCCTATTCGCGCTCCAGCCATACCCATTCCTAGTTTCGTCTTCGCCTTCATAGCCGCCCATACGGCCGACGCCGCCACTCTCTCGCCGAGAGTCGAATCCCCGGCCTGGATACGCTCGAACGCTCTCGCTCCGAGCGCTCGATCCGCGACGTGCCGATCGGCGAGATCGTCGCTCCGCGAATAGGCGATGTCGTGCTCGCGGCTAGCCGCGTCCAGCGGATTGACGCCTCGATCGCCTCGCGCGAGCCGCTTCGCGAGACGAGTACCGGGACCGCAGAATTGATATCCTGGTATATGTAGCTCGAACGGAAGAGCATTTATAGTTCTATTGAGCAAACCGCTACCGCCGACGACTGCCGTCGCGGCGTCCTCGGCGTATCTCATACGCCTCGATCGTCGACGCGCTCATAGTCACGCCATTTCTCCCGGCACATGCCGCAGTCTTTGATGCACGGCGGTGGACCGTCGATGTGCATGTCTTGCCACGGCTGATTGTGATGCTTGTGACAGAGGCGATAACGCTGCACGTCCGGATCGTCCTTCAGATGTATAGGCAATCTCTCCCACAATCGATCGACGAAATCGCCGTACTTGTCCAGCAGAAGCTTCTTCGGAACATACTGCAACTGATCGACGTTGAGTCCGAGAATATCGGAATCGTTCACCAATAGAATAAACATGACGAAGCGTCGCGCGCGCGCGCGCGCGTAACTTTATCGCATCACCGTCGATCAGACACGCCTAACTGCGCGATCGTTTTTTCTCTCTATATATACGCTCGCGAGGGCGAATCCGCGCTCGTTGCGCGCGCGCGCGCGAGTCTGCGCACTGAGACGCAGATTCGCTCGCGACAACGAGGAAGAATCGCGAGAGGAGAGAGAGAAAAAAACGATGCGTTTCGTGCGTCAACCGATTGCGATAAGAGTGTCCAACGTCGACGGTAAGACGCGCTCGATGAACGAGGAACCGCGAAAACACGGTAATCTGTTACCGACCGCGATTCACAGCGTAATCTGCGGTCCCTCTAATTGCGGTAAAACGACGTGCTGATAAGCCTTCTGGAGAGCCCGCACGGCGTGCGATTCGAGAACGTGTACGTTTACTCGAAATCATTGCATCAGTCTAAATATCGATATCTGGAGAAATTGTTGAAACCTATGCGGGATATCGGTTACTTCACGTATTCGAACAACGCCGACGTCATCCCGCCTAGCGAGGCGTTGCCGAACTCGATATTCGTGTTCGACGACGTGGCCTGCGACAAATAGGACGTCGTGAGAGAGTACTTCGCCATGGGGCGTCACGCGAAGGTCGATTGCTTCTATCTGTGCCAATCGTACGCTAAGATACCCAAACATCTGATACGCGACAACGCGAATCTATTGATACTCTTTAAGCAGGATAGTACTAATCTGAAACATGTGCACAGCGATCACGTGAACACCGATATGTCGTACGAGGATTTTCACACGCTGTGTCGCGCGTGTTGGAAATACCGATACGGTTTTCTAGTGATCGACAAAGATAGCGCGCTGCGCAACGATAGATACAGGTGAGGGTTCAACGATTACGCCGTGCCGTAGAGCGTCGTCGTCGTCGCCGAGGATGAGTCAGTCTTCTCGAGACGGCGGCGATCGTAGAGCGGAGAGAGAGATAAGAGAAGGCGAGACGCCGAGGGACGACGTGCGATGACGGACGTCGACAGACGCGAGAGAACCGCGATAGAAATAGCGAGAACGCGCGCGTCGATTCGCAGGAAGCACAGAGCGTTGAAGACCGGAAAAATGGAGAGCGATAGCGCTCTGGAGACGCGTTTCAAACCGATCGTCGAACCGCTGCGACGCATCGCCGAGCGCGTCGGAGACGATTCCGCGCAAGGCGCGAGCGCGAGAGAGAAGGAACCGGCGAAGAGCGAGATCGACGAGACGTTCGCGCGAGGCGTCAAGAGAATGGAGGCGCTGGGGGAGGAGGAGGACGACGAGGAAGAGGCCGAGGAGAGCGTGTTACCGCCGCCGTCCGCGAAAGGATTCAAAGCTAAGCGATTTCGCCGATCTGAACGCGACGACTTCCACGCTCGTGGGAGCGTTGGACGCGTCTCCCGCGCAGCAGCGCGAATTCGCGAGCGGAGACCTCTTTGCGCAGCCGCCCGTCGAGGAGACGTTCGAGACGAGCGACGACGTCTTCTTCGGATCGCCGACGACGCTCGAAACGTCTGTGAGACGGTCTCTGCAGACTCCTGGAGGACGAGACATCTTGCGCGATCAATTGGGCCCGTTGGCGCGAAAGTACGTGGGCGCTCTTCTCAGTGGCGGCGCGCCGAGCGATTTCGATCACGTTTACGAAGTCTACTTCGCCGACGCCGGAACTATGCTCGGAAACAAGCGATTCGATGTAGGCGCCGACGACGCGATATTCGTGGACGGAGTCAGATACGCCGCTACTCCCGGTCTGTACGAATTGATCTTCAAGAGAATTCCCGACGATTTCAAGTACACTGAGAGAGATAAAGCCGCGTACAGGAGCATACTTCTGCAAACTAACGCTCACAGGCGCGAGCACAATATTCGCATGCCCGTACTGGGAAACAAGGGATACAAGTACAAGCACGTCATAGCTCCGATCCTGCGGACGGACAGTCCGAGGAAGAGAATCGGCAGGGGTCGCGTGCCGCGGGCTATGCGCGCGACCCGCGACACCGTGGACTACGTTCACTGGGACGATCCGAACGAATTGGTGGATCGTCTTCGATTGCTGGACGCTTCTCGTCAAGCAGGCAACAACGCTCACGACAACGAGATCCTGTCGATAATCGAGGAGCTCCGCGAGGCGGGCGAGATACTTTGAGACGATCGCGGCGACGCGCGCGCGCGCGCCTCATTCGACGACGCGATGTTCGCGAGCAAGTTCGGAGTGTCGATGCGGAGAAGACGCGGTCACGACGCGACGAGCGCTAGATTGCGCGCGAGCGTGAAATCTCTGCGAAATTACGTGCGCGATAACGCGCTGTGCCTGACCGTCTCCGATGTCTCTCCCTCCGCGTCGCATTACGACGCGCGGTGTCTCAAGATACGAGTGGCCTGGCCGACCAACAACGACGACGCGACGAACAAGAGTTACATCGAAAGCGTTATACACGCGGTGAGAGCGAACGTGGCGAATAATCACCAGCTTACCGCGAGCGTGAGAATGCGAGTGGAAAACAACGCGGCCTCGATGGCGAATAAAATCGTCGCTCTGAGCAAGAAGATCGACGCTCTCGAGAGCGCCGCGACCGAAAGATCGAGCGCTCTGGAAGTCGACGTTACGCAGATTCGCGCGAGGGAGAGCACTCTCGAGAATCGGTTGCAAACGCTGGAGAATCTGCAGGAGCTCGCTGCGACGAGGATCGAGATCGTCGAGGCGGAAAGATCGGCCTCGCGCGCGGTCGCCGACAAGCGGCTGGGCGATCTGGAGAGCTCCGTCGAGACGAATCGGGCGAACGAGGACGCGTCGGGCAAACTGTTGCGCGAACTGGGAACCTCCGTCGCGCGGCTCGAGGAGATCGACGAGAAAACGGAGAAGCGAGTGCGTGCTTTGGAGAGATCTCTGTCGCACGTGAACAACGTAGCGGCGAACAACGAGAGAAATCGCGTTGAGCGGTCACGACAGAACGCTGCAGGAGTTGACGGCGAAAGCGCTGACTTCCAATGCGAAATTGCTAGAACTGGACGCCGAGGTGGCGCGTTTGAGGAAAGACGCGAACGAACTCGCGAGGAGAACGGCCGCGACGACGACGACGGCGGTGAAGGCGGCGGCTGCGGCTGCGATTCCTAAGACGATCGATCCGAATAAGGTAGTCAACTGAGCGCTAAAACTCCTGACAAGCAACAATCAAAGAGAGGGTAGAAAAAAATGGAGACGGCGAGATGAGCGTCGGGAAACGGAGACTCGTGAACGAGCTGCACACGCCAGCGAGAAAGAACTTCCCCCGCCACCGTGTCGCGGTGCGCGGATACGACGATCTGTGGCAAGCGGACGTCGTCGAGATGCGCCCTTACGCCGGACGGAACAAAGGCCACAATTACATACTCACCGTCATCGACGCTCTGAGCAAGTACGCGTGGGCGGTACCACTCAAGAGAAAGAGCGGCGACGAGGTCACTCGAGCCCTATCGAGCGTGACGCGCGCTTCCGGACGTCGCCCGAGAAATCTTCAGACCGACAAAGGAAAGGAATTCTACAACGCCGAGGTGCGAAGATTCGTAGATAGACACGGAATCAATCACTACTCGACGTATTCGGTGCTGAAAGCATCCATCGTCGAGCGTTTCAATCGTACGCTCAAGAACTCGATGTGGAAGTACTTCACGCTGAACGGAACGTACAAGTGGCTCGACGCGCTGCCGCGTCTAATATCCGAGTACAACGCTCGCAAGCATCGAATCATCGGGATGCGTCCGATCGACGTTACGCCCATTTGAGCGTCGAGACTCCTGTCGACGGTGTACAGCCACCCGAAGATCGCCGTTTCGGAAAAATTTCGACCGAACGATTCCGTGCGCGTGAGCAAGTACAGGACGCTGTTCGAGAAGGGATACACGCCGAATTGGACCGCGGAGATCTTCCGCGTAGCCGAGTTGCGAAGGACGAATCCCGCGACGTATCTGTTGAAGGATTCGCGCGGCGAGCCGATAGCCGGAGGATTACACGAGTTGCAGCGAGTCTCCGATCCCGACGTGTATCTCGTAGAGAGAGTGCTGCACCGAAAGAGCGACGCGGTTCTTGTGAAGTGGCTGGGAATGGACAGGTCGCATAATTCGTGGATCGGCAAAGCCGACATATTGTGACGAATATACGTATATTTTCGCGTGATATTACAGACGAAAAGATACATCGCGCGTATTGTAACGCGTCGCAACGAATATATATATTTGTAATATTAAAGATAAGGAAATACATCGCGCGTATTGTAACGCGTCGCAACGAACATATATATTGTATAACATTAAAGATAATAAAATACATTACGCATATCTATAAAAATACGTCGCATCGCGCTTAAGATCTATCAGCGCCTCTCCTCACAGAGGTATCCTGTAGTGCCCCCACGGCAGAGTGTCGGTCGAATCCGGCACGACGTAGCGCTTATCGTCGTACGGACTGAGCGCGACCTTCGACTCGCGCATGGTATACACCTCGTGTAACTTGGATCTCAGGCACGACTGCTCGCAAGTCATCTCGATCTCGCGTCTCAGACAGCGCTCGTAATCGTCGAACGTCAGCGTTCTCGCGACGACGCTGCTCCTTACACCCTTGCTCTTCTTAGTGACGCCCCTACTCTCGACTCGCAACGTGTACATCTTCGCTCTGAGTCCGACGAACTCGAGCATGAGAGCGCCGTTGTTCTCGTTCTTCATCAGACCGAGAACCTTCTTATTCGCGCGCGGCACGCCGTAGGGATTGTCGACGGCGTAATCGTTCGTGTCGAATCTATCGATGTTGCGCTTCATTCGCTCGTACGTGTCCTCGCACTCTAAGCTATAAATAAGACTGTCCGTGTCGGTGTACAATATCTTACACTTATCGCTTAGAGCGGCTACATGTATTCGTAGTGATACGCGTACAGACGAATCTTGGATATATCGAGATTGGACATGCCTACGTAGATCGGTTTGTCGATCTTCGCCTCCAATTTGCGCAATTCCACGGCCATGAGATTCTCCGAGAATACGCTTCTGTGAAAATTCGGCTTGGAGATGAGCGCCTCGGCTCCGAATCGATCGTCCCATCGAGTCGCGAGTCGAATGTCCACGCGATTGCGCACGTTCTCCATAGTCTTGCCGAAGAGGGCGTTGTTCATAAACTTGTACAGATTCTTCTCGAAATCGTTACTCGCGTTAGTGCGTAAGCGCGTGTTAAGTTCCACGTATCCGCGTAACCACGGCGACTGCGTGAAGCGCAGCGCGCGATGAATCTTCGTCAGACGCAGACCGTGACGAACGCACTGCTGCAGATTGCGATAGTGCGTGACGTATCGGCGCTTATCGTACAGCGTGGCTAGGAGGTTGCTCTGCCGCTTCCCCAGCGGCTTATCGCGCGTGGGACAAAACGGTAGATCGGCGTGGGCGTTGTGCGCGTCGACCTGATAATCGAGATCGACCTCGAGAATGTAGCCGACGGTCGAGTCCTTCGTCACGGACATCACGTCGAGACTCTCGAGATCGTCGACCCACTCGAATCGCTCGTATGGCAACGGCTGACACATCGCCCAACCGTACAGATTGTTGATATCTAGATACATCAGATAGATCGACGGTCGCGACGGATCGTACGCGCTCATGTACTTGTTGTTAGCGCGAGCGTATCTGTTGGAGCACTGACTCAGACCGCCGCGTATTCCGCGTTCCACGAACATCATCATATCGATATCGGTGAGCAGCTCGAAACGGACCCCCGTGTACTTAAGCATCGCGTCCCACGTGTATCCCGGCAGCGTGAAGTAGTACGCGGGATCTAAACCGTAACTCTCCAAACAAGCGGCGCGAAAATTTTCGAACACGTCCGCGAGCAGAAGAACGTCGGTCTTCAGATAGATATCGCTGTACTCGCCCAGATTTTCGACGCTAAATCGCTTCCAGACGCGCGTCGCGTGCGCGTAATCGCTCTCCGATACGATATCGCCGGTCAGAGAACTGTAGAAGGACTCGCGCGGCGACGCGTCTCCCGCAATCTCTCGACGCTGTCGACGTACTCGTACGGAAACACGCCCTTGCGCATGAGAAGCCGAAAGTCGTCGTCCGAGAGGTCGCGAAACTTGCCTCGCGCGATCGTCAGTTTGCTCTCGTCGAGATACGACACCAGCTTATCGAGACCGGCGCCTAAAAACTTGAACGAGTCTACGAATCGTAATCTGGAACGCGGCGTTTCCCCCGTCTCCCTCCACCGCGGTATCTCGAACGGTCTCCGAGAAAGCTATGTACGATTCCTTCGTCACCGGCAACAACTCGACGCTGCCGGGATACGCGTTAGCCACATCCTTGATAATGAAGTGCGCGTCGTAACCCGATAGATTGTGAAAGAATACGGGTATGACGTAGGGGTCCTTGTAATTCAAATTACACGCGGAATGCGCCGGACCTCTGAAACGGCCGGTCAAATGACAGTGATCGCGCACGCGAGCGTCGTCGACCTCGAACGGTCTCTCGCATGCGTAACAGTGCAACACGCTCGCGAACATAGCGCTCTTCCTCCCGCATGGTCGCGTCCTCTTCTCTCCCTACGGCGAATCATCGTCCTCTCTCTCTCCTCCCCGCGGGGCCTTATCCACAGCGTCTCGCCTCGCGAATCCATCGGCAGCGAAAACCCGCGACGCGTCCCGGTCACCCGCGTATCTCCGGCGTCGAATCTCACCGCTCTTTCGCTACACACCAGGACCGTCTCGATCCACAGCTCCTCGCGCGCGTCTCGAAGACCGATCGCCCGCCTCGTCGAATAGGTCGCGACGCTCCACGCGATCCTCTCCTTCAACACTCGAACGTAGCGATCGATCGGCGGATCGACGCGCTCCTCGCTCATGACAATTCGCGCCTCAAGCGTATCAAATCGACGCCGCAAAACATGTTTCGGCGGAACGGGTACTCGCGACCGCTGTCCTCGCGATCGTAGGTGTATCGCAGAGATCTACCCGCGTTCCTCGGGCGGGAGAATCCTGCAGCGCGCGACTGGCCATAAGTATCGTTCTTCCGGTTGGGGATAATCGAACGAGTGGTATTTCCACTCGCCGTCACACATATAACCCTTCGGATCCTGACGACCCTTCGTATACTTCGCTCTAAACCACCTGTCTAGATCATAATTGTAAGAATAGGCTCTGCGACTGTCGGCCAGAGCCGTCTCGACCCACAACTCCTCGCGCCGACTGTGCGTTTGAACAGCTCTTCTCAGATGATACGTCGCGACGTTCCATCGCGCGCTCTCCTTCAACTCGACGTCGTCGTCGCTTATCGGGCGCGTCAACTCCTTTTCCTTATCCGCCGCCCTACCGTCGACGGTAGAGACGACTCTGGCGGAACTTGCGCCGCTCATACGCGCGCCTCGTCGTTCGCGAACCTATCTTCCCGAGAAACGATCGGATAGACCGATCGCGACCATCCGCGAGGCGTGTGCGCGCCTCGAAACGACCGTCGCGTCTTTATACTCGCTCGTTCGAGCGATGACGACGACGTCGCGCAAGCGGGAAAAAATTTCTCCACGGTCGCGCGGTTTTCGCCTTCGGAAACGACGAATCCGTCGAAATACCGCATTCGACCGGATTCGGCGCGCGTTATCGCGCGCGTCTCTCGCCGCTGCGCGTCCGAGAGAAAGGAACGACGACGGAAGCGTCGCCGCGAATATCCCTCTCGTCTTAGCGCGACACGCTCGAGAGGAAGGAACGGCGGCGGAAGCGTCGCCGCGAATATCCCTCGCGCGCGCGAGTAAATCCTAACGGAATCCCGCTCCTCTCTCGTTATCGCGCTTAAAAGGAGAGATAAGCGGCGAGTCCGAGAACGCGCGCGCGCGACGACCGCGATATCGCGCGAAGATGCGACGAGGCCCTCGTCCAATCGTCCCTCGCGCTCTCCGTCGATCCTCGAGAACGAAGGATCGACAACCTCCGTCGACGAGAGAGAGAGAGAGACGCCTCTAGCCGTGACGTGTTCTCCCGATACATCGTACGCTCGTTTACGAAACGCGCGCACATTTAGGTTAAAATTCGAGCGGCACGCTCGCACGCGCGGCGAACTCGCGTCCGACGAGACGAGACGAGACGAGAAACACCGCCGCGCTCCGCGTGCTCTCCCGATACATCGCGCGCCTTTTTACAAACGGAAAAAAAAAATATTCGAATTTACATTTGAGCAACGCGTAAGACGCGATAGAAACGCCCGAGGCCGCTTGTTGTTACCTCCTCGGCGCGTCGAAACGACGCGAGCCTGCGGAGGCGCATATATATTATATAAATATTACATTAATATTATTTAAATATTATATAAATATTATATAAATCGCGCGTCGCGCGAATCGCATATTTTATATTACATCTCTTCCAGGCCTACGTCGAACGCGTCTATTTTATTTATTATTAACGTCGACTTTATCTCCGTCTCGCGCGTCGAACCGGCGGAAGCACCCGCAGTCGCGCGACGCGCTCGACGGGGCGATCGCCACTTATCGCGCGCGCCTAGCGCGCCGCGTCCAGAGACGCTCCCGACGTGCCGTATCCAGGGACGCGCGCGCTCTCTCTCCCTCTCCCTCGCTCTCGCGCCGAACCCCTCTCCCGCCCGCTTCCTTTCCCTCCATATTATACGGGCGTTAAATGTTTAATATTATATGTTGGTCGCGTTCTTCAGTCAAACGTATGATTAAGTTCGGCAGCGCTGTTAGTACCTTAACCTATCGTATTCTAACATAACTACAGCTGTTTGCTACCGCCGAATAAATATCGTCACGTTATCACGTTGTTGCGTCGTCGCGTGTGTGTCCGCGTGTATTTCTTTCATCGAGGGATTTTTAATTGCTAACGGTGATTATTTGGCAGTAATTGATAGTGATAGAGGTAGTGATAGTTTAGTAAATTCTCGTTTTATCGAGTAAGTGAATAAATGTGGTTACGTTGAAGTTTACAAAAGAGTACAGTTTATAAAAAGAAAAACTTTCGATTAATTATTTAGTGTGGATGTCTCTTTTGTAACGTGTGATATCTACGTTAAATTTGAGTGAAAGTGCAATCTATCGGAATATTTATTTCTCAAGAAACTACAGCAATAATTAGCAGAAGTCATCGAACAAGATAACAATAATTATTCTTTGGCGTTGTGTCAAAACAGATCTTGGGAAGTCAGATAGTGTCCCAGAGGAAATTCATAAAACGAGAGGGGTTTTTAGTGGGTAGGGAGTACGGAGTTGATAATTAGACTTGGTACTCGAGTCCCACATAACTCACCCGACCGAGCGGTGAGTATGCATAAAATGGATTTTCCCCTCTTGTAAAAAAAAAAACCGGGTAAGTGAGCGAATGAGAGAGAGAGAGAGAGAGAGAAGAAAGAGAGAGAGAATATATGTATTCGTATATATGTCCGTGCATCTCTCTTGACGGTGCGCCACCTTGTCGTGGTGGGAGAGCTCCCCTTCTTGTTGGAGGAGGGGTCTAAGAGCACACCATTGCACTCCCTCGTCTCTCGTTGGCGCTGGCCGGCGGGAAACGAGAAGGAGGGTTGCGCTCCCTCCGGGCACTCTGGCCTGATGCGCATAGGGGTTGGCGGTCCTGACTTCAATCGCCCGGTGGCAAGGCACCGTAGGAGGAGGATTGCTCCCTGTCCTTGACATACGGGTGATCCCGCGGGAGGAGGGTGCCGAGCGGTAGGTGCTCCTACCGTGAGGTGTCCCTCAAGGGGAAAAGTGGGTGTCGTCTGCGACCGGCGAGCGATACAGTCGATATTCGATAGCTGACGGGGGCCGGAGATTTTTCTCTCCCTGCGTTTCACTCCTTTTCTCAGCGCAACCAGCTCAAATTTCGATAACAGTTGAATTTTTCGGCGATTATCTCGCACCGCAACACATTCGACAAACGATAATCATTACAAAATAGGTGCTACTCATTGACATAATGAGCGCCACAAAGACGCAAATACTTATAATACTCTCACACTTATAATAAGACGCTCACACGCACACTTAATAATCGATTGCACAAACGCAATTAGACACGAAAAACACGACAACACGGGCGGCATACACGCTTTTCGCGATTTTTAGCGCACGCGGTCGATGTTCGGTGGTCGATAGCTACGCGTGTTTAACATCCCGAAACCCGGAGAGAAACGAACGATACCCTATCAATTAATGCCTACGTTACGACTGCCCGCGATACCTCGATCGCTTGTCTCCGGTCGCCAGAAATCCACGAAAAATCGACAGCTCGGCACAAGGCCTGAGCGGCAGCAAAACACGAAAATGGCGACGGCGACAGAACGGCCGGTCGGCGGACCGAATCGCGTACGTGGCTTACAAAAGATAGGCAACCTCATCGATATGTGTCCTCGAGCAGGGAGGTGCCGTTCTTTCCTTGATTCCGCCAACGACCAGCACAATGCAACAACTATTACGACTTTTCAACATTACGTCGTGCGCCCGCAACAGAGTGAGTCCCTGGATCGGAAGATCCAGGGTCGATAGCTGCGTCAATGACCGCGTGCAGAAGTGCGCAGTTCCGCGGTAAATCGCGCCGCGACACGCGCGATATCCTTGCGCCTCGCGATACGCGAGGTATTCCTGCGCCCTGCGCGAAACGGTCTCGAATATTCAAATTCTGCTGTCGTGGGCCCCGGTTTTCATGATCCGGTGGAGGCTCATTTAACGTCCTCCACTCCTGGAAGGTAATGCTGATCGGGTCTTCGTCCTCCTTTATACGATGAGGGACGATGTTTTCCCGTGGCGTCCCGGGGCTCGATTATTCGGGCGCTATTTCCTCCTCCGCTCGCCGGCGGGGAGCGCCGTTTCATGAAATCCCTCGACGTTACCTTCGCCTTCCGGATGTTCTCCGGCGGGTTGCCCGACATTTCATTAATACAAAAAAATACAAAAAGTTAATAAAGGCAAAATACAATAAAATCGCTCGTCTCTCCGGGAGTTCGATATTGTTCTCGCAATCTGGCTTCTGGCGCGGCCGCTCGACTCACGCCCCGTCAAAGTTGCCGAGGCGGATGGACGCGCGACAAGATGGCAACGTTATAATATATATGTTCTCTCGAGTTTCTGTCCTCGCAAAAACGGCAACTGCGTATGCATCTTGACTAGCATCTACGAACACATAAAAAGACAGTTTACATTGACGAAAAGCGTGTCGCGGAATATGTAGTTCCTTTAACTAGTAAAGCTGCTGCAATCAATTATCGAAATCAGCTCTAATATTTTCAGGTACTTCTTCGTCCTAACTAATTTTGCATGATCAAAGCTTCTGTAACAACAACTTAGATTTTAAGGATATCGGAGGAGACAAACTAGTGGGATCAAATACTTTTTGAGCAGCAGATAGTATTTCTCTTTGTAATCTGTGACGTAGTGTAAAATTCCCACAATGTAGGTGTCAACCTTAAAGTATCCTGTTCTTTATCTCAAAACAATCCGAGTACGAAAGTCAATTTATATGTTTCTTCTTGAGCCGCGTATTCTCAGCCTCGCAAATCAAATTTGCCTTCTGCCATGATTTGTCTTGCAGTAACTTCAAATGCTACGGCCTCGCTGTGCGTATTAACACTGATTAAGTAATTATCTACGTAGAAAGACTTCTTTAATTGTTAAATGACTTCTATTCCTGCCTCCATTTGTCCTTGTTGTAGTACTCTGTCTAAATGATATTCGATCATTGCCCCTAAGAAGAAAGGGCTGCTAGAGACTCCAAAAATTACTTGCCAATGTCTGTATACTTCTATTTCTTCTAGACGAGTCTTCTTCCACTAAAAAAACCGCAATACGTCTCTATCGTCAAGTGAAACACTTATTTGCAAAAAGCACTCCAAATGTCTGCAGTTATTCCT